AGTAGATTTCACATTTTCAAGAGATTCATATTTTCATAAGAAATGGTTGAAACCATTTGTTTCATATTTTTTATAAGGCTGCTTCAACTGAATGAATTGTAAGTGATTGACTTGTGGTTTGATTGATACGTGGTTTACAAAGCTGGTGCTTCAGTTGTTTATCCTGGCAGGGGGAGACAGCTCCACTCCATCTTCATACTTAACTTTCTTTACTGAGACTGTCATCTATTGTCCAACCTTGTCCACACTTCTCCCCGTTTTATGCATTCATCTAACCCATATCAAGATTTAATTCCCTTTATTTTAAGTTTTACTCTTACTTCAGTTCGTTTCCCATTTTCTTATCAGACTTCTTGCTATCTATATATTCCTCTAATTTATTAATAACTTGCAGATTAAACCTGGGACAAGTGTTTTGGCGAACTCTCAAAAGTCACATGCAGCTATTTGTTCCAAACCGGAGACGAATTCAGACACAGATGAGGTCAGTAGCACAGAAGATCTCTTGCTGTCTTGTGATGATGCGGAAAAGGATGAGGGCACTTTTCTTGACGAGGCTGAGTACAAGGACTCGGACGTCATTGATAATCGCACAATCGTCTTTCGCATTCGGGACGCAGTGCATCAGGCTCATGGCAGTTTAGGCTTGGGCATTTTGGCCAGGTTTCGTGTTGTGCATTGGAGTCCTTCTTCTGGGCTTCTAATTGTGCGCTGTCTACGTCATGTGGAGATCGTCCGTCAACTTATATCAGCACTAACGCTGATTACGGAATTCAAGTCGAGAAGTTTGTTTAATTAATTCTTTTTCGTAGATACGAAGATAAACTTGGTTTCGATGAATCTCCTGAGATAACATTTTTAGGGGGACCTTCATTTCGTATGAAAGTGCTTGAATAAGCGATTAGTTGGTCGATCTTACCAGATGAGGATGGATGAATCTCGTTGTACTGCAGCCGTTTGGATTTTATACGATATGTTGACGCAGTTCACGGGAGTTCCTCCCTCGTTTTCGGTGAAAACGTGCTGAGCTTTTGTTCATCTGATAATGGACATCATCAGAACTGGGTGTTATTCCTGTAAAGGGCTTTCGTTAACACTAGGCCAAGAAGACTATCCGGCTTTATCTTACCTCTTATATAGATTCAATTAAGCTTAATTGTGCGCCGCGGCCTCTACAGGGACGCCGCGAAATATTGTAAAAGCTTCAATTTGAGAAAGTGTGTAGTGATTTGCAGGCTCATTCATCACATTAATTATTAAATATTAATTTAATGTTTATAAAGTAAAAAAAAATAATGAAGATACACGAGTTTTAGTTTTTGTATCTCTTACTTACGTATATTCATATTTAGGGCAGGGCCCCATGGAAAAATTCTAATTGAAAAAGGGCGCCACGACTAGGAAAAGTTTGGGAACCACTGTATTAGGAGATATGTTGAATATGAGGAACGCTGACAGGAAGTTGAGTAAGAACTACTTATACTTGTTTAGCCGCTATCAAAAAGAAGGTGACCCAAATTGTCCTCTAACTGATGATTCTTACTTTACTCACACTCGTAAAACATGCTAGATTAAGCTCATCAATCAAACCAGACTTACCAGATTACGTAACCCAAGTCAAAAAGTAACCCAAGATTACGTAACCTGATCAAAAGCAGCAGTGTGAAAGCTAGTTAGCCAAAACATCCTTTACTTATCTATGCCTATTTATTTTCGTTTTCAGTTATGAGTATATATAAGAGGCAACATAGAGCCGGATAGTCTTCTTGACTTAGTATTTGTTAATATGAGGTTTTTACAAGGATGATTTCCAGTTCTGATGATGTCCATCATATGACAGGCGAAAGCTCAACCCGTAATACGGAGTAAGTTTTCGGTCTCCATGAGAATGATCCTCACTCGAAAATGCAACCATGAAGAATTTTTAAAATTAAATTAAATCACTGCCTAAAATACCCAAGATTTAAACTATGTATATACTTAAAAGACTATCCTATGAGCATGCTTAACATCTTGTGCTAGTTTAGAGTTTGACCCATTTATCAACTAGTAACTACTTAGCGGATTTCGATTACTTGCCTTTAAAAATTGGACTATGCTAGATTTCCTGATTGGCATGCCCTCTACTAGGGAAAGGATTTGTCTTTTC